ACGCATTCACTAATTATTATCTTTTTTCTACTTTTAAACGTTTTTGATGATATAAAAAAGCGAAGTTATATTTCATTGATCATTGTAGCAGTGTTATTGTAGTCTTCATCTCGTTGTTATATCTTGAGAGACAATCGATCAATATTTCTCTAACATTAAATAAACGATTGAATCTGTCATAAGAAAACTGTATAAACAAACTTTAACGCTTATCCAATTTTATGTCTACATGCAAATAAATAATTTCGTTCTTTAATTTTAATTGTGTGTTTATTTTACTTTGTTCAATTTAATAATAATATATGTTTATTTTATTATTATTATTTTACTGATTTATTTATTGGATTAAGACTTTATCTAATAATAATTAATAAATTTTATTAAATATTAAATTACACATCCAATAAGATAAATATACACATGCTTTTTGCTCGAAAAATTGATTTTATTCATTTTATGAATAGTGACGGAATTTGACCGTATTCAGGCAATCAAAAGCCGTCCATGCACATATACTTTTTCATTATCTTAGATTTCTAGCCCAATATCATATGTACAATTCTTCTATGGACAAATAAATTTAGAAAGTGCATGTCTTTGTTCATTTTATGATTTCTGGAATTGTAGGTGGAAAAGTCGACAAAAATTCAATCATCAATATATATGTGTGTGAAGAGAAAAACTAAATAACTAATTAATCAAACCTAGCGTAGCCGCCGCTCCTGTTAGGTTTTCTCCTCTTCTTTTTCTTAATCTTTTTTATCTCTAGTCATTTAAGAGGGTGATTTCGTTAATCTATCTTCTTTTCTCTTTCATCTTTTATATTTCTTTTTCATTGATTTAAAATTTTGTTTTTTTTTGTGTTAATAAGTCTTTTCTTTTTTTTAATAAAAACGATAAATGTTTTTTCTTTCTCTTGTAGCACATTTAATATGCTTCCACCCAAGAATGGGAGAAGCACAAAGGTTGTCGAGTCGTGTAGTAATTGAATTTTGACTATAAGACAGACAAACATCATGGTTTTGCTGTCTGGTTTAATAAACTTTGTTTATTTTATAAACCAAGACCAAGAAACTCCTTGGTTAACTCTAGTGTAGCAGTGCTCATCTCTTTGCTGCATTAAACTGTTGTTTTCTGCCACTTTTGCCACACTTCTCGGACCTCCATTTGCATTTTTGTTTTTTGTTTTAGATTTATGTCCACATTAATTGAATTAGAGAAATTAAACTCGAATTGAATGCCTTATACAAGTATATATATATATATAACATAAATATTGAATAAAAATAAAAATACCTGAAATGCAATAAATCTTAAATACTTATGATTATCTTATAATTTTACTCGACTCAACAGAATTAATTTCTGTACTATATTCAATCAATCACCCCATCTGCAAAAGCTCCTATTTTCCAAAAACTTCAATCTACTGAATTTGAATTATCTTGAGAACGAAAATCTCACTCCAGATTTCAATAACAACTATGGGTTTAATTCATCATAACAAGTTTGGTGTTTTCCTGTGGCTGCTACGTCCGTTTACTGCTTTCATGGTTGGATAGCTGTTGAATGTCAATTTGCACGTACTTCTGGGTTCTGTCATGGTTTATGGAGTTAGTCGCTACTTCTGGTGCACTTTCATGGGGAGCTGTTTGTGGCTTTTGTTCTCTTTAAGCTTCGTTTTTGTTATTGTGTGTGCGTTTCTGTTTGCATTGTTTCTGCTGGGTTGTCTGGGACGTTTTGCTGTTTGATTTCGGTTTTTTTGTTGCTCAGTGGAAATGGTCTTATCCATATTTGGGCTTGCCAGCCGTCTCGGTTTGCTTGGTTGTAGGATTCACTTCCAGTTTTAAGAAGCTTTCGGTCTGTTGTAAAGTGGCTGTCGCTTGTGGGGTGGTTCTTGGTGCTAACTTTTTGTTTTGTTTATGGTTTTGTGTTGTTCTAGTTTGCGATTTGGTTGTTTTGAACTTCGGTGGATGGTTTTGTTCCGGTGCAGTAGTTATTAATAAACTATTGGGTGCTTTTTTCTCTTCTGTTATTTCGCTTAAATTCCAACTTGATCGAGTTTAGAGGAGGTTTTTAACTAGGTTCTATTCTTTCTAAAGCATAATTGATGAATAATTATTGTATCTATTATAAAATTTCTCCGTAAATTATATATCTGCAATTACTTTTTTGTCTATTAAAGTCTTCAAAGTTTTTTTGTGTCTTTTAGATATTTTGTGGATTTTTTAAAAGTTTTTGAAAATCTTCATAATTTTATATCCTCTTACTAGCTACGATCTTATAATAAGGTCTCTGACAAGCCTAAATGACCTATCAGATTAAATCTATTATATAACAATTATATCTATTTAGCATATTAATTTAAGAATAGTCATTATTATTCTAGACTTGACATAAACATTAATATTCAAATCACTATGCAAGGTTGGAGTAAGATACCGATCTTTCCTCACCACATCATCTTCTTTTGTCTATTTTTTTTTATTAATTTAGAGTGCTTACAAGTGGTAATATCTATTTTAAAGATTCTTAACTATTTAACTATAAACGTTTAAATATCATATGATCTCTTGTGCTCAAACCTAAAATCTCTAGAATTAGCAAATATTTCAACTATTGAAGTAGCTTGATTGGTGCTCTCCTTTAGCCTATTTTAACCACCTATAGTAATTCTAAAATCAAAAGAAGAATAGTCAAAAGCTATTCCAACCCATTTCTTTCATCAATAATATTGGAGCTTTCTTTATTTTTTTTTTGTTTTCTTTACAGGTGGCATGAACTATCTTGTATATATCCACGCTTACACCAAATCCAAATTCAATTTAACCCAAAAATCCCATCAAGATTCATGAACCAGACCATGAATTTATGCATTAAAAACCATTTAAAAGTTGTGTCTGCAACTGCAACAACTACTACTAACAACCAACTAGCCAATATATAATTCGTAATGCCAAAGGACCTGAATTCACATGTCATCTGAAATCAAAACATGAAGAATTACGTATTGTTATCGTAGTTTAAACGTTTCTTGAGCATTGTCAGAAGAGCCTGCACATGTTAGTAAAAAAACACCAGACAAAGATATTGTTTTAATTCTCTGCATTGGTTATGATTCCACTCTAATCTGTCAAATTTATGGATAAACAAACTTTATCTTGCAATTATGCACGTGAGGTTTGGAGAATTTTTACTTTATGCAAAGTTCAGTATTATGTCTTGTTAGGAATTTGTGAGTAAGAAGGAAATAAAAAACAAGATCAACTAATAAAAAAATATATACAAGGAATGAAATTTAATATGATTTGGTCTTAACTACTTTTATGAGAAAACAATGATCTACTATAAATGTAAAGATTTGTATGAAATTTAATATGATTTGGTCTTAACCACTTATATGAAAAAACAATGATCTACTATAAATGTAAAGATTTGTATCACAAAGAGTATTATATAATATCATCTGTATCTATATATATATCTCAAATCCAGGTGTATCCTAGAAACCTCTTCCAATGTCCCTACAAAGTATTTCTACAACTAAAATTATCCTAAAATTGCAGAGATTCCAGAAAATATTACATCTCATCAAACTGATTCTCTCATAATTCTAAAGGCTAATATATAATCTCTATTTAAAGAATCAAATATTTAGTGATCAAGAATCTTTATGCTAGAGTTCTTAACTAAATAAAATTAATCATCGAATAATTTTCAATCAGTAGAATTGCAATAAAATTTAATTTAATTTTAATTAGAATTTGTTTAAATATTTAACGAATTCAAATGCATCTGTAAAGGGTTGATAAGACCCCTAGAGAATGAAGGGGATGAATGGTGGAAAATTCCAAAGGAGGTGAGGGCAATGGCTCCAATCTTGGGATAAGACAGTTCCTTTATTTTGGAGGGAAATATGCAATGGACATCAAGTATTTTTATATAGAAAAGTATAGGTTGTGGTGCATAAAATAAAGCTGAGATTTTAGATTTGATATTGATGTACGAAATGGGGCCTATATAATGAAGTTAAGCTTAGCTCCACTCAATTTATGAGCACCAGCACATTCCTGTTTGATTATGGTGGATGCATAATTCATCAAAAGGACTGTCATTGTTGCCATCTCCATCCCTATTTTTCTTCAAGAATTTAACTTCTCTAATGGCATGTCTAGCCATTTTGAATGTGATAAGAGATTGAAAAGAAAGATATTGTAACAAGTGTCATCAATTGTAAAACCGTGGAATTTCAATTCCAAAAATCAAGTTTCAGCCCGAACTGACCTGATAATCAAAATCCAAGAAAAGAAAACGTCAAGTAAAGAAAGATTTAAAAAGTTCAGATTTTTTTTTGTAGATTTCGTGCTATAGAACAAGAACATATTGATCGAGAAACTATATCAAATGATACGAGTCACAACATACTCCTTTGGAATATATCTTACTTTCCCTTTGAATAATGACATGCACATAGTGGTTTTCATGTGAAGGAATTAGTAAATTCATTAATAATTTATAAATATGGTATGATTGTATAGATTTATATTTACAAAGTGTGCCAAGTTTTGCTACAAGTTTTAATGTTAGAATGGAGAGCACTTGTACATTAATATCAATTGGATTGTTTGAATGGAAGAGTAACCATGTGTATCATGTATAAGATTTTACGCGGCATGCTATATTTCTATTTCATGTTGTGTTAGATGAAAAATATGTATACAAGATGTTTGATATTAATGTGTCAAATTGATTGGAGCATGTACAAGTGTGGATTAGACATGGTTTGAAGCAAGTTTGCTTAGCATAAATGATTGGATTTATGTATTTTTTTTAATACGAGTATCGATACCTTAAAAATAGCATACAATCCCAGGTTCAAATTGATAAAAAATCTGTGCGAATTTTCAGTATCATACTCAAGTATATGAACTTAGGTTTTATATTTTATTTTTTGAAAATACCGAAGCCAAAAGTAATATCGGTATCTTTCAATTGTAGAATGATGTTAAATATGAAAAGGAAAATGATTTATGTAATCAGTGCTGAAACAACCTGAGAGGCAGTAACATACAATGATGAAGTTTCAATGAAACCGACTCTTCACTTCAAACAAAACCCAAGTGGTTCATCACAAACTCACCAGCTCCATGTGTTGAATGAGCTCAAAGTATAATGGTCTGCCCAAAGATCTGCCATGTTTCCTCATATGCTTTCCTTAGACCAATCGCATGGGCACCACTGATCCTATGAATTAAAACCAACCAATGAGTCAACTGCCAAAAAGAATCGAGCATGAATCTTAGTATCTGAAATGAAACCTGCTTACCTGTGCGTTAGGAATTAGGATAACATTGTGGGGAACTTGCATCTCCTCGAAAACAGGCCCAAAGAAGAGAAATTAAACTATTTCATCCTTTTATGCCCTTCTTCCCCATCATAGATAAAACTTCTCTTGTACACAGCACGTCTTATTTCTGCAGCAGAATTGTCATGGATCTTCTCAATATTAGCATCTTCTTGGTCGGATTCATCATTTCTCATCTCATCAGAGTTGAAACTTTCCCTGGATTCAATGCCATCTTCCTCAATATTGGCATCTTCTCTAGAGGAAAAACTCTGGCTGGTTTCATTATTGCTCATCCAATCACTATTGGTATCTCTCTCAGCATCCACGTAAAATACATGAACACCACATTGATCAACAATGATTTCATCGAATTCAGGTTTGTCTTCCTCTTCATCATTGTAGTACGAATATTTGATGTAGAATTCAAATGATGCCTCCTCATAGTTCTTGTCTTCTTGAATCATATCTTCACTAAATAGAACCAACACATGATCACCTATGTATGTTGGTCCTTTCTCAGAAACTAGCTCGTAAGAAAACTCACTACGGAATTTTTCATAACAATCGCCACTGGCAGATGTCAGTTGATATTCACAGATAAATTCAAGATCTTCCCTGCGATGGCAGTACTGAGTGAGATCAGCCACAAGGCAGATAGCAAAAGCCAAGAACCTGCCCCCAGTATACCCATTTGGGTCTATCTTCAAGTTCAACCGAGAATTGTTACTCTGATACTTGAACTTATTTGCTGAAATGTTGTAGCCCGGGAAACAGCAAATCAATCTTCTTAAATAACAAGCATATTTCCCTGCCGCTATCCATGTCTTTGCTAGGAATCCAATTTTGAGCATGGCATTTGCCTCAATATTATCAATTGAATCTCGATTCAAGCTTATGCATTCAGAGAATAACATGAGAAACTCTCCACAATCATCATCATCATAATAATCTGAAGAATCGAATTTATATAAATTTTGATCTGCAAACGATACTTTTTCCAAGTCCATGCATTGACGTGCATGCAACTCCCGCATATACGGTGGAAGCCCTGAGAGTAATTCAAGGCTAAAGCAAAAATCCACTTCCAAACATCCAAGGCTTTTAGACCTCAAGACTGGTGAGGGCGCATCAATTGTTGGAATCTCTCTCGAACCAGAGAGGGCAATATTGCATCGTAGCTTTTGAATACTTGAGCCTCTCAAATTTAGGTATTGAAGATTACTTAAAGAGTCGAAAGACAAGGACACTTCCTCAATTTCAGTCCAAGATAAGTCTAATCTTGTTAAGCTCAAGGGGATTTCCGGGAACTCGACCACAGGGCAATAACTAAGATCTATACTACGAAGGGATTTCAACTTTGAAATATTGCTCGATACATTTTTTACCTTAGAACAACTCAAATTCAGCGTTCCAAGTCTCAGGAGATGCTCAATTGAATCAGGCACTTCTTCAATTCCAGTGAATGATAAATCTAGCACAGAAAAGTTAATTGGGAGCTCAGGAAACTTTTTGAATTCATAACATCCCTCAAGATTAAACTCTTTAAGAGATGTCAAATGTCTGAGGCAAGGAATTTGAACCAAACTTTCAGATCTCTGACAGTTAAGGCTTTTGAGGTTGACGGCTCCTGATAGATTAGGGATCTTCCTTAAATTCTTGCAGTCAGAAACGTCAATTACCCTTAAATTAACAATATCCTGTGCAATGAAAATATAAAAGAGCTACATTACTTCAAAGCATCATCGATTTACTTTGGACATGGACTGCATCAGAAGTGAAAAGAAAAAGAAAAAGAAAAGAAAACAATAGAAAATAAAAGTATACATGTGATGTATTGGGTGTATAACAATTATAAGATTTTCTTAGATGAAGAAAGTATAAAAGCATATACCATATTAGCATCTTCATTCCAAAGTTGTTCCATGTGGCTACCACGTAATCTCAACACGACAAGATTCTTTGTATTGAAATTTGATGGCAAAGATTTGAAGGGGTAATTTTGCCAACAAATATATCTTAGTTCATCAGGAAGAGATACACTATCAACCCCGTCTGCATGTAGCTTCTTATTCCGGTTCCAAAACAGAGGATCATAGAAGTGAATATATCTAAGATTAATCATGTTCTCAAAAACATAAGGACGTAACCGCAGGTTATCAATTTTAGACATGTCTAACTTTATTCCTTCGATTCGGTCAGTTCCCTGATAAAAAAAAGTAATTTAACAAGCATTAGATACTTAACCAACCCTATTAATCCTATAAAGAAAATCCCATGCACTAATGTTAAAAAAAATATATTTGATACAATATCAAGTATTTAAATTTGTATAGTGATATTTAACCAACAACAACACCTCATTAAAGCATATAAAGGAACAAAAAGAATATAAATAATTAACTCTTACTTTATTATGTTTGAGCACTTGATGTACATCATTAGAATTCCACAACCTACTGCGCTTTCCACGGTCTTTAGATTCACGGTCAACAATGTCCTTCCCCATCTCTTCCAGCACATCATGCATAGCAATAAACTGAGAATCTATGGTTTCAAGTAGGCACTTGTCAATCAAGTTGCTTATTCCACATACTGCACCCGTATAATAACTACTTAGAATTTTTTCTACATCATCCATGGGTTCGCCTTTAAAGAAGCATGCTATGTCGAGAAATATACTCTTCTCTAGCTCATCCAGCCCATCAAAGCTACTCTTCAAGATCTGAGAAATTTTTGGTTGGCCATATTGCTTTAGTCTATCCACCTCGCTTTCCCACTCTTTTCTAGACTTTGAATATAGTTTAGAACCCAAAACTTTAAGAGCAAGTGGACTACCTTGGGCGTAATCTACGAACTTGTACGACAGATCTAGAAACTCAACAGCAGGATTCAACACCTTAAATGCAAATTTAGAAAAAAGTTGAAGAGAGTCGATCCAGTTTAATTTCTTCACCATATGTATTTTGTTAGCTCCTCCATTCTTAAGCACTTGTCTATTTCTAGATGTTACAATGATCTTACATCCATCACCGAAATGTTCAATGCCCATGCAATCTATTTGGTCTGAGTCATCAACATCATCAAACACAACAATGACTCTTTTATTGTTCAGCCTCTCTTGGATAAAATCGGATCCTATGGAAGGGGTGTCTATCTCAATTTTGTCGTCTAATAGTTTGGAAAGAAGTTCATTTCTTAGGGATACCATCCCTTTGTTTTTTATTCCCTCTCTAACATTTTGAAGAAAGCAACGACTTTGAAACTTTGGAGAGATTTCATTATATACAGCATCAGCAAGGGTAGTTTTGCCTATACCACCCATTCCCAAAAGTCCTACTACACGACTGTCTTCTTGCTCAACCAGCCCCACAATCACCTTCTTCTGATCATCTATTCCAACCAAGTCTTCAGAAACACTTGTAGACTTACTATTCAACCTTTTTATGACATACTCAATGACATCTTTAATATACTCCGAATCAGGTCTGGGAAATGATTTTAGAAAATGATTGTCAAAAGAAAGGCAATTCAAATATAAAAAGACGATATATATATATATATATATATATATATATTTAGAGAGAGAGAGAGTTACCTATCGAACTTGCCGCCTTCGATATGCCACCCTTTTAATTCACCGGCTTGAGCAAAGGCCTTTTTCCATTGTTGTACTTGACGTGGATCATTTGATTCATGGCCATCAAAGGATGTTTTGAAACTCCCACCAATTTTTCGTACATCGGAAGGATCAACGTGATAAAAGATGGGAAGAACAATTTGACCTTGACTGTCCTTTCGGTCCATGATCTCATATAGCTCAGCCAAGCATGATTGTGAAGAGGCATAGTGGACAGACAAAACAATTATTGAAATATTTGAGACTGAAATTGCTTGAGAAAATTGTTCCCCTTTATCAGAAAAGACATTTATTCCCCTGTCTGCCGAAGCTTTGAGTAAATGAGCGGTAAAGTTAAGGCCTGTGTCTTCGCCTCTGAAGCTCAAAAAAACTTGGTGTTTCATCAACTTTAGTATGACATAGTCAACAATATCCTTGATGTGCTCGGTTTCAGGTCTAGCAAATAATCAAAACCAAAACATACATCAAATCTAAAACGATGTTGAGTCGAATATATAGAGGAAGATAGAAAATATAGTTACCTGTCGAATTCGCCTCCTATATGCCGCCCTTCTAATTTACCGACTGCAGCGAAGGCAGCTTTCCATCGCTGTACTTGATCCAGCCCTTTTGATTCATGGTTGTCAAAGGATGTTTTGAAACTCCCACCAATATTCCGTACTTTGGAAGCATCGACATGGTAAAAGATGGGAAGAACAAAATGTCCTGCAGTGCGCTTGCGGTCCATGATGTAGGAGACTTCAGCCAAGCATGATTTTGAAGAAGCATAGTCTGAAGATAATATGATTATTGAGAGTCTTGAGGCTGCAATTGCTTGAGAAAGTGCTGGTGTAAATTTCTTCCCTTTCTCCAGACTTTCTTCATCAAAGAAAACATCAAGTCCCTTGCCTTTCAAAGCTTTGAGTAGATGAGCGGTAAAGTTAAGGCGTGTATCTTCACCTCTGAAGCTCAGGAAAACTTGATGATTCATTTGACGAGAAGAGGAAGAAGAAGAAGCCATGAAAGAGTATTGATTGTGCGATGGAAGCAAATGAGAGAAAATTGCAGGGGAACTTTGCTTGTTTTTATTGTGTCCTATTTATTGTGAAAGAGAGTGCACGCGTTTGTAGCATTGGCGACGACTTTTTTTCTTTTAGAAAGGCGACGACTTTCTCTATTTTTCTTTTTATTTTTTTCCGGAAATCTAAAACCAATGCAACAAAATCAACGCGTATTTTCCTTCCAATTATTTTTATTTTTATTTTTATTTTGAGAATAATGAATGAATTACACGTAATTTCTAATAAATAATTGATATTTATGATTTAAATTTAACATATATGTTTCTTAATATTTTAAAATAAACATAAAATTTTATCTGGTCTACAAAATTATTTTAATTAAACTCTAAAGACAGTTTCAAAAAAATTCATAAGACAAATCAAACTAGGTAAAGATAAATAGTTAATAGCACATAATTAAAATATTTCATATTATAAAGATAAATAAATCAAGTTGACTTTGTAAATAAAATATTTAATTTAAGATATGGGTGGACTTTGACAAATTAATTTGGAGGCTTACTAAAAACTTTTAGAAAGTTGTTGAGGCTTAAATTAATATTTTGAAAGAAAAAAAATTGAAGAGTTCTTAGCCAATAACAACATACGCACACTCTAAACACAATTGTTGAAACTCGTATCCTTTATGAAGAACAATATTCACTTTATCAATGAGACCACTCAATGGATTCTTAACCTACGTATTTTAAATGTCAATAATTTAGTTAATTATTTGAACAATTTTATTTAGATAAATTCTATATGTAATTAGATAAATTTTACACACCTCTACAAAATTTACTTATCTAAATGTATTTTTTAAATATTATTTAATACACTAATTATATTAATAATTATTAAATATAAACTTATTATAAACTTAAGAAAGTAATAAAAATAATTTCATAAATTTTTATAGAAATAATTTTAATTTAATATTATAAGTTGAACTTGTTAAAAATAAAACATATCACGAGAACAATTTAATAAAGTTTCTTTTGAGGTAATCTTACATTATTTCTAATCAAGCATTGTAGTCTTACATTCCTTCCAATAAACCAAACAAGATAAGATTGCATTTCGAAAATCATATCCCAAACTAATCCTACATTCTTAGAACCAAAAATCACATTATCTTTCTGTTTGATTATAGTGCATGCAAAATAACTAATGATTTCATTAAAAGAACTACCATTGTCATCACCCTATCACTATTTTTCTTCAACATTTTAACATTTTCTTTAGTGCTTCTGATATTTTTTACCGTGGTAACAACAAAGACTAAAAGAATGAAAAATAGCCACATGCATAATAGTCAAGGGGAATTTACCTCTCCAAGAAGGCTATATTGCCAAAAGCATATGGTTCCTCTAAGGGTCCAAAAATCAGAAAGAGCTTAGAAAATGGCTTCAAATATGCATTGAATGAGATCAACAAGGCAAATCTGCTAACAAGTTCCTGCACTACCTCAAAATCTCAGTTCAAACAAAATGTATAGCTCCAAGTATTGTGGCCTTACACCAATCACTGCCATCTTCATTAGTAAATTTAGAGTCAAAGCATAAACATCTAGGATTTTAGGCTCCACTAAACTCTGCAAGTAAAAAGAAAACCTATAATGTGAGAAAAAAACAAAAGAAATTAGCTTTGGATCTTAATATATCAGTGAAGCTAACTAAATGAAGTCCACTAATCTTATGAATTAAAACCAACCAATTAAGATGTCAACCGTGAAAAAGGAATTAGCTATGAATCTTAATATCTAAACTTTGGTACCCACCACGTCATGCTATGTATAATTTATGAACTCCAAAGCAGAACCTTTTTGTTGCAGAATTGAAATCTCCAGTTGCTTCCCAATTTTCCTATTGGACAATCTATTTTACAACTACAAAAGAAGACAGACACAAAAGCAGAGCAACTTAGATTTATCATGGTCAGTTTTATTATTAAAATTGCATTATTATTCCTTGATATAAATTATACTATATACACACGTGCAATGTACATGAAGGAGTACTAGAAATTCTAAAAGATAAAGCACAACAAATAGCAAACACCTATTCCTAGTAGAGTATCGTGAATGATAACATATTCACTAACTTCTAAAGGATATATGAAATAGAAATCAAAGGACCAATACATCATTAAACTAGACAATGAAGTTCAATGAAGTCTAGCACTGATCCTATGAATTGAAACCAACCAATAACTAGTCAACTGCCAAAAAGAATTTACTCCAGGAGAACCTTATTGTTATTGTAGTGAAATCTACAATTGCTATCCAATTTCCTTCTTGGACAATCTATTTTATAGTACAAAAGAATACAGACATATATGGAGACGAGAAAAACAGATAAAAGAATAAGTCACTTACTAAAGGCTTCAGTTTCTCAAAAAATGGTATAGCACTTTCTAAATGACAGCAATTTATAACACAGAGCAAGTTAGATGTCATCCTGCTTGGTTTTAATTAATTAAAGCACTTTGTTTTCCATCATAGCCAATTCATTTACAAGTTGAAAATTTACTATTAATAATGGCAGAATAAAGAAAAATTATGGTAATTTGGAAAATGAAATGAAAGCCAGTTACCTATGCATTTGGATGAGATTATTGAGAAGTTGCATCTCCTCAATAAAGAATGTCGTCGTCGTCCTAATATAAAGAATTGAATTGACATAGATTTTGATCTGTGAGCGATACTTTTTCTAATGATGTGCAGTCATTTGCTCTCAAGGACCACAGATATCGTGGAAGCTCTGAGAGTGATTTAAGGCTTCTGCAATCTTCAAGAACTGGCAAAGAAAGGGATTTCAACTTAGCAATTCATAAGGAAAGTAAGGTTATATGAGAAATGAAATAAACCCACTTACCAATTCATAACGATGAATTCTTGAGAACTTGTGTCTCCTCAAAAGAGGACTCAAAGATCTAAATAAATAATATATATTTCAATCTTTGAGGGCCTCCATTGCCTTCACCATCATAGCTAAAGACTCTTTTGTGCAAGTATCAGCATCTTCTGCAGAGTAAAAACTGTTGTTGGATTCATTATTCCTCATCTCATCGAAGTTGAGCTTTTCACTGGATTCAACATCACTATCGGCATTACTCTCTGCATTTACATAAAATACATGAACACCACATTTCTCCACCTTGATATTTTCTTCTTCGCCACTTAAGTCGACATATTTGATGTAGAATTCAAATGATGCCTCCTCATTGTCCAAGTCTTTCTTAACCAAATCATCACTAAACAAAACCAACATGTGATTACCCTTGTACTTACGCTCTGACACGAATTCAGGACTGTAATGCCACTCACTTTTGAACTTTTCATAACCACCATCTGTGGCTGTCAGTTGGTACTCACAGGTACATTCAAGATTTCCGCTTCCACTGCAGAGGGATCAGCCACAAGGCATATAGCAAAAACCAAAAATCTTCCCCCACTACACTCATTTGGGTCAACATTGACAAAGAATTCACGTCCTGATACTCAAATATATTTGCTGAAATTTTGCTTCCCGAGAAACAGCAAAACAACCTTAATGGTTGAGGATCATAGTTCCAGGCCCATTTCTTTGCAAGGGATCCAATTTTGAGCATCGCATTTGCCTCAATGTTATCAATTGAATCTTGATTCAAGCTGAAACAATTACAGAATACCATGAAAAATTCATCACTATTATCTAAAGAACTGAGTTCATAGAGATTCTGATCTGTGAATGATACTTTTTCTAATGATGTGCAGTCATGAGCAACCAAGTACCGTAGATATGGTGGAAGCTCCAAGAGTAATTTAAGGTTGCCGCAATGATCCATAGACATATTTTCAAGGCTTTTGAACTTGATGATTGGTGAGGGCACATCTAAGAAATATGGATCACTTGGATGGTTGAAAGACGAGGACACTTCTTCAATCTGACTCTCAGATAAGTGTAATTCTGTTAAGCTTCTTGATTTTTGTGGGAATTCTTCAAGTAGGCAATGACTAATATCCAGGGAACGAAGGAAATCCAACTTTGAAATATTGCTCGATACATTTTTAACCCTTGGCTCTCTCAAAAACAACTTTTCAAGTCTGAAGAGATTCACAATTGAATCAGGCACTTCTTCTATTCCAGTTTCTTCTAATTCCAAAATAGAGAAGTGATTTGGGACCTCAGGAAACTTCTTGAGATTATGACATCCGGTAAGTTCAAGCATCTTAAGAGATGCTAAATGATTGAGGCAAGGAAGTTCAACCAAACTTTCACACCCGTTGCAGTAAAGGATTTTAAGGTTGATGGCTCCGATTAGATTAGGGATCTTCCTTAAATTCTTGAAATCAGTGAGGTATATTTCCCTTAAATTAACAAGATCCCGTGCAATGAAAATATAAAACAGCTATATATTTCTAAGCACCATCTACTTACTTTGGACTGCATCAAAAGTGAAGAAAAATATATATATATACCTAAGCTCATCAGGAAGAGATATACTGTCATCTTCAAAAGTGAAAAGAAAAAAAAACTTGGCCGAAGAAAGCATGAAAGAATGAATACCTGATGACCATCTTCGCTCCAAAGATGTTCCATGTCGCCACTTGGTAATTTCAACACAACAAGATTCTTTGGATTAAAGTCCGATAGAGATTTGAAGGGGTAAGTCTCCCACCAAATATACCTTAGCTCATCAGGAAGAGATATACTATCAACACCATCAGCATGTAGCTTCTTATTCCGACTCTTTCTCCAAAAACTCCCAGGAAAATATAAGAGAAAAGATCTAAGATTTAGCATGTCCTCGAAAACAGTAGGATTTAACCGAAGGTTATCAATGTGAGACATGTCTAACTTTATTCCTTCAATTGATTCAGTCCCCTAATAACAAAAAACAATTTCTCAAGTATCAGTAAGGAGAACCTTATGAAAAAGAAAAATATCAGTATAGAAATTTATGGCAAGTAAATATATATTGGATTTTTTTTTTTTTAAATAGAGTATGAAGTCATCAATAACTCTGTATCTGGATGTTAAAAAGGAAAGAAACAAGACACCATGCCATAGCAACAAGACAACAGCTCTTGCAACATCAGCAATGAGCTACAGCAAACATGAACAATGTTTATTTTTCAAAATGAAAAATA